GCCCTTCCCATGGACCACCTTCTGGCACCTTCCACCAGACCTGTGGGTGTTGCACTGAAGGGGTATGTGAACAATGTTTCTCACATGGGGTGAATTTTTGGTCATCTATTGTGAAAAGTTTTAAGGTTAGAAGAGCCAGATGCAGACATGCAGGTGGAGATTTCCCTGCCATTCCCCCTTTTGTTTTAAAAGTTGATTTTTAAGAGCATAATGTGCTCGTTCAATGGTAGCCTGGCCAGTCGGATTATATAGGATGTCTGTAGAGTGACTAATAGACTAGAGGGAGCGAAAGATTTTTAAAAGCTTTACTTGTGTAAGTGGGCCCGTTGTCAGTTTTAAGTTTCTTTGGAATGCCCATATTAGTGAAAGCAGCTAATAAATGGTGTTGGACAGGAGTGGTGGTTTCACCAGGATGAGCAGAAGCCCAAAGCATGTGAGAATAAGTATCGATAGAAAGATGGAGGTAGCTAAAGCGTCCAAACTCAGGAAAACGGTTTACATCCATCTGCCAACTTTTATTTGGAGTAAGCCCTCCGGGGAACCACCTCCAGGTGGTGCAGGTTGATAAGCACTGACTTATTGACAGGAAGGACAGGCCTGAATAATTTGTGTTGCTTGGGACTTAGTAATGTTAAACTGATGTCTAAGGGAACAGGCAGATTGCTGAAGAAGTTGATGAGACTGGTAAACCTGCTTAAAAATGGGCATCATTAAAAGATCAGCCTGAGAATTCCCAAGGGAGGGGAGAGTGAGCTCGACTGTGTAACAAAGAAAGAAAGGAAAGGAAAGGAACGGGAATGAATAGCTTTTTGAAGTTGGAGAAACAGGAATAGTTCCTAAGAATTAACTTGTTTAATTTTTGTAGTCTCAATAGACTTGGTCATTCCAACAACATAGGCAGAGTCACTAACAATATTAATAGGGGTCTTATGTTTAGATACAAGTATTGTAATTACTGCTACTAGCTCCACCAGCTGAGTCGAGGTATGGAAAGTAACTGGAATTTCTTGTTCCTCAGGACCAGTGATATCTCCTTTGCCATTGTTAGAGCCATCTGTAAAATAAGTAGGAGCTCCTGGGATAGGCGTGGCCTTGGTGACTCTGGGCCCCACAAAGGAAGTTAGGGAAATAAATTGTAATAATTTATGTGCAGGAGGGTGCTTGTCTAAAATGTCCACAGAATCAGCAAGGGGAACCTGCCATGATAAGCAAGTTTGCCAAAGTTTCTGCTGTTGAGTTTTGTCAAAAGGAACATGGAGAATTTGAGGATCAAAGCCAGTCAACTGGCGAGTACATTTCCTTCCTTGCATAATTAAATTAGACCCAAGGGCAATGTACATCATCAGGGTTTTGCCCTCCTGAGAATGTGGGAACAACCATTCTGTGATGTCAAATGTGGGCTGTTTTTGGAACAAAACTCCTATAGGGGCTTCTGGAGAAGCTACGACAATGAAGAGAATAGGATAATCATAGTGAATACGATTAAGTTGAGCATTTTGAATGGCAATATTTACTATATCGAGTTCCTTTTTAGTTTGTGGAGTCAGACAGAGTTCAAGGGGAAGAAAGGACTGAGTCCCCTTTAAGAGTCTCAAAGAGGTATTTAAGTGAGCTGGTAGGAATGTCCAAGGCAGGGCACAACCAATTAATATCTCCTAAAAGCTTTTGAAAATCACTTAATGCTTTGAGATTATCATATGTTAATGGATACTTTCTGGGTTGTAATGGTGGTGTTCTGAAACCCAATAACCTAAATAGCAAAAGGGAGCTGGTTTTTTTTGAATTTTTTCGGGGGCTACACGTAGTCCCCATCATATAAGGTCATGTTGAACTTGGTGAAAAAGTGGGTTTAGGAGAGACTCCTCTGGGGCACCTGAGAGCATGTCATCAATACAGTGAATGATGTAGGCTTGAGGATAGAGGGATCGAACTCACTCCAGGGCAGGGGAAGGCACTGAAGCAGAGCAGAGAGGTATCCTGCCCCCAAGGATATCCCTTCAGCTTGCTTACTAGGACAATCAGGAGTGCGCAGTTTGCTGCTCCCTCTGGTCATGGGGGCAGGTTCACAATATGATAGCTCTCATTATCTCGGACCTCATTGAATACAAACCTAACTGTTCTCTCTGCTTTTTCTTTTTCTTTTTTTTTCTTTTTTTTTTTTATTTTATTTTTTATTTATTTATTTTCTGCTTTTTCATCTTGTCATTTCTAGTCTTTTTGTAACTTCTTATTTTGTATTGGGGTACAGCCTATTAACAATGTGGTGATAGTTTCAGGAGAATGGCAAAGGGACTCAACCACACAAATACACGTATCTCTTCTCCCCCAAACTCCCCTTCACTGCCTGCCCCTGCTTCCATCTCCATGGAAACAAAACAAGATGTTCCTGATCAACAGCAGGGCCTTAACTTGCCTCCCTCTTTATTGTGCCCTGGGTCAAACTCCCCAGTATAGGTGTTTCCAAGTGCTCTCACGGGACTTCTGCCAATAAAAGTGCGGGCTGAAAGGAGTCATTTTGTCCTCCTGCCATGGAGAGCATGAGGGCCCTGTGACTCCCTCCCTTCCAGGCTCCCACGTAACATCGAGCAGAGTTCCCTGTGCTATATAGTAGGGCCTCGCTGGATATCCATTTTAAAATACAGCAGGGTGTGCATGTCCAGCCCAAACTCCCTAACCATCCCTTCTCCTCCTAAGTTCATTCTCTAAGTCTGAGAGTTTCTCTGTTTTGTAAGTTCATGTGCATCATCATTTCTTTTTAGATTTCACATAGATAGGATATTATCGGAGAAGGCAATGGCACCCCACTCCAGTACTCTTGCTTAGAAAATCCCATGGACGGAGGAGCCTGGTAGGCTGCAGTCCATGGGGTCATGAAGAGTCAGACATGACTGAGAGACTTCACTTTCACTTTTCACTTTCATGTATTGGAGAAGGAAATGGCAACCCACTCCAGTGTTCTTGCCTGGAGAACCCCAGGGACGGGGGAGCCTGGTGGGCTGCCGCCTTTGGGGTCGCACAGAGTAAGACACGACTGAAGCGACTTAGCAGCAGCAGTATATGGGATATTATATGGTATTTTTTCTTCTCTGTCTGACTTACTTCACTCAGTATGATCACCTCTAGGCCCATCCATGTTGCTGCAAATGACATTTCATTCTCTTTACTGGCAGAATAGTATTCCATTGTATGTATGTACCACATCCTATTTATCCATTCCTCTGTCGATGGACATGTAGGTTGCTTCCAGGCTTTGGCTATTGCAAACAGTGCTGAAATGAACAATGAGGAGTATGTATCCTTTTGGACCATTTTTTTCTCTGGATGTACTCCCAGAGAGTGGGATTGCTGGGTCGTATGGTAGCTCTGTTTTCAGTTGTTTAAGGAATTTCCATACTGTTCTCCATAGTGGTTGAGCCAATTTACATTCCCACCAACAGTGTAGGAGGGTTCCCTTCTCTCCACACCCTCTTCAGCATTTATTATTTCTGGGGTAAATCTATTTTTAATTTTTGGAGGAACACACAACACTTTTTCTGCAGCAGCTGTAACAGGTTACATGCCTACTGACAACGCACAAAGCTTCATCAGCAGTATTTGAACAAGAAGGAAGCACAGGTTCAGAGAAGTAAATGACTTGTTCAAAGACATGGGGGTGTTTGAGGAGCCAAGATTCTAATCAGGGTTTATTGGCTGTTTGAATGCTTGCTCTGAAGCAAAATGTTAAACTTGGACTTTGGAGTATCCAGGGTGGAAGCCATCTGATGGCGACTTGTGGTCCCTGGGTCATCCTAGCCCTGCAGAGCAGTGTAGTGAGGGGACATTTCAGTCCCACAGCAGCAGGAAACAGAGTCCTGTCATTTCTGATTCAGAATGAAGGTTAGTCCCCGCTCCCTCCAGGCAGTTGGGAGGCCACTCTGGTTTGATGCTTTGACTGACCTGGGCTAGAGTCTGTGCCTTCTACAAATCCCATCTCCTTCTGCCCCAAATCAGAGTTCCTATTCCATTTTCCTCTGCAAGCAATGAAACAGAAAGCTGGGAGAATGCAGGATCCTTGGTGAAGAAATACATGTAGTCTGAGCTCTCTGATCAGCAAGCTCCTAAAAGAGTCACTTCACACATATCAAGGAAGGAAGGAAATCATGATGATAATCATTTCCCTCATTTTATACAGGAAAGGAGGACAAAGATGGTGTGTAGTTTGTGCAAAACCAGACAGGCAGAACTGGATATGAACCAGCAGAGCTGGTCAACTTCAATTAAAAAATCAGCATTCTTCTCCACTCAAATCACCCTGCAAATTAAGCATGTAATTAACGCTATGCCAGGCACCATTAGAAGCTTTTCATTTGCTAGGGACACAAAGCTTTTCCTTCTAGGCTCTTTGCCCAGTCTAACAAGTTGACATAAGTCAGATGAACAAGTTTAATTTGCTATGTATTAGAGTCTGATAAAAACTCTTAGGCCCAAAGACATTCAAGCAATTGAAGTTTATATCTAAGGAGAAGGGGGTCAGGGCGTGGGGGTTCAAAGGGGAGGAAGACAAGTCACAGGACAATGGGAAGAGCAAGTGCTTGGTGAACAAATGTTTGCTGCTCCAGGTCTTTTTGAGATAAAAATTATCTCTGGGAATAACTCTCTTCCTGGCATAGTTCCCCTAATCTATACTCTTTTGAGCAGTGAGAGAGAGGCAAGGAGCTTCTCCTGAGTCTGCTGGGTCTAAATTGCCTTCAGCTCAACAATCCCCATGTCAAAGTGGGATGTTTTGGGGAGTCATCCCCTTGCCCTCACTTCTCTTGAAGCATATTAAAGGTTTTCTTTACGTTTGAAGAAACCAGAGCTCAGAGGCAGAGAGCTTGTCTACTGTGTCCATTTACCACCAGCTCCCCATCACTCCATTGCTTCATAGAACTGAACTCCCAGGGCCAAGAGTGGAGGGACATTCCTGAAGGCTTCATGTCTTGTTTCCTCAGCAGATTGGAGCCTCCTCAGCTATGTCTAGGATGCTGCGTTGGTATGTTCACCAGTTTGGTCAGAAGCTGGTCCGCAGGCGGCCACTGGAGCCGCTGAAGGAGCCTGAGAGCTGCGGAGCTCCTCTGAACTCCCTCGACCTGGTGATCTTGGGTGTGGGCAAGATAATGAGAGCTGCCATCTACATCCTAATTGGTAAAATGGTCAAGTACGTAACTGGACCAGCAATCGTCATCTGCTTCTTGGTGGCCGCCTTGTTTTCCCTGCTGTCAGGGTTCTGCTATGCCGAGTTATGGGCCCGGGTACCACGCTCTGGTTCTGTGTATCTCTACAGCTATGTCACCATGGGTCAACTGTACGCCTTCCTCACTGGCTGGAACCTCATCCTGTCCTTAGTCCTTGGTGAGATAATGGGATAAGGATGGTGTGCGGCTTGAGATTAGGTAACTAGAAGTGGGGACTGGAGTGTTCGCTCATTCATGAGCACTTTGTTATTGACCTTGCAGGGGGAGGTGAGTAATAGTGGCAAGAAAACCCCACACTTTCATTCTACTCAGCTCTCTCCTTCTTTCCTTAAACAATTGGACCAAGAATTCAGAAAGAAAGGAGCCTGTAGGGAGTAAGTGAGGGGGAAGCATGGCCCACAGGCTCATCCCTTCACCATATTGAAGTCCTTTGCTCCGTTGTTGCCTTCGCAGGATATTCTCTTACACCTTGATTTAAAAATTCAACCCTCATCTTCCAGCCCTCCATTTCCTATAGCCCTGTTTTCTTTTCTTACATAACATTAATTTCCTCTTCAAAGTTGACCTAAATTGTGAATCATCTGGGTCTTCCCTCCCCATCCCATAGGGGGGGAAAAAACATTTTCACATTAGGTGTTTCGTCTGTTTCCCAAAAATTCATCTCAAGGCACCTATTAGGGGTTCAATTAATGTCTGTTCTTTCTGCTGCTTCAGGCACCGCCATTTTGGCCAGGGCCTGGAGCTACATCTTCGACAGCCTCATTGGGAACCACATCTCTCAGGCATTACAAGGAACTTTCTCCCTGTACGTGCCCCACTTCCTGGCCAAGTACCCAGACTTTCTGGCCTTAGCCCTGGTGCTGCTGTTCATGGGTAAGACCGGGCCCAGTGATCGGAGGGGAAGATAGCGGGGTGGAGAGGTGGGAAAGGCCGGGGGCCTGGGGAGCAGAATGGAAGGGGATTAGAACTGAAAAGCAGCATCTGAGATACAAGAGACAGGAAGCCAAGACATTGGCTGATATTTCCCACCCTTGGCAACACTGACATTTTGGGCTGGATCATTCTTGGTGTGGGGAGATGTCCTGTACATTTTAGGTTTTTTTTAAAAATATCGTTGTCAGGTGTTGAGTAGCACCCCTGGCCTTTATTCACTTTATTCACTAGAGGGTGATTCCCACCCTCCAGACTGTCTCCGGGCATTGCCAACAGTCCCCTCGGGAATTATTTCCTAGTGCAAATTATTATAAAATCATCCCCTCGTGAGAATTGTTTACTTAGATTGACATGTTTCTTCCTCTTTACTGAGACCAAAGACGTGTTTTTTAATTGAAAGGAAATTCATATAACATAAAGTTATCCATCTGTGATTCTTTACCAACTTTACTGAAACATAGTTGACAGGCAACGTTGATTAAGACGTGTACAGCATCATGATTTGGTAGGCCTGCGTATCGTGAGATAATAGCCACAGTTAGACATGAACCACCTTAAAGTGTCCAAGTCAGGGGCAATTCAGGTTAGTACATTCACAATGCTGTGTAACAGTTGCCTCCATCTACTTCCAGATATTTTCATCACAACAAAAAAGAAACCCAGTATCCACTGAGCAGTCACTGTCCATCTCCCCCATCTCCATCCCCAACTAGTCTGGCCACCCCTGGTCTGCTTTCTGTGTCTGTGGACTTAGTTACCTAGGATGTCTCATATCCCATCTTTTCCACAGGACTACAGATGCTGGGAGCTCGTGACTCATCCCTGTTTAACAAAGTGTTCACAGGCATCAACATTTTGGTCCAAAGCTTCATCATCGTCTCTGGCTTCATTAAGGGAGACCTGCACAACTGGCAGCTCACGGAACAGGACTACACCTTGAACACATCTGAATCCAGGGGCACCTCTAGGTTAGGAGGGTATCTTGGACCATTCTAATGCTCGGTGCGGGGGATGGTTTATGCAGAGCTGGGACTATGGTGGGGACTAGGGAGATCTGAACCAACAGACTCAATTAATGACATCTTGGAACCCAGGACTCATGATATTAACCAAGGAGCTCAGAGATGGCTGAACAACCTCCCCCATGTTCTTCCTCACTCCTTCTCTCACCATAGGTTGGGCCCTCTGGGTTCTGGAGGGTTCGTGCCTTTTGGCTTTGACGGGGTTCTCCACGGAGTGGCTCTATGTTTCTACGCATTTGTTGGCTTTGACGCCATTGTCTCTAGAGGTAACCTGGGCCCTGTGTGTCCCCATCTGGGGTTTGGCCACAGACTGGACTGCCCTTGGGCACAGGTATCACTTGGAGGTTAAAGAGGAAAGTGGGTTTTGTGCTTTCACCCCAGTGCATATCCCTGACCCAATACTTCCTCCCAATCTACAGGTGAAGAAGCCCTAAATCCTCAGCGGTCCATCCCCTTGGGCATCACATTCTCCATCTTCATCTGCTTTTTGGCCTATTTCGGTGTCTCAGCATCCCTCACCCTCATCCTGCCCTACTACCAGATTCAGCCTAACAACCCCTTATCACAGACATTTCTGCATGGTGGGTGGATTTCTGCCAGGTATGTCCTGAGTGTCGGCATCATTTGTGCTCTTACATACAGGTCAGTATGTTGGTTTTCTCCCCATCTCCTGTCAGATGCCAACCCCATCCCTTGGGATTGAGAAACCAGATAGAAAGGCACCTTACCCCATGTAGACCAGGGAGCAGACGCCTCCGTCTCTGCACATTCTCACACACGCTCCCACTTTCTCTTCCAGACTCCACAGTGCAGTGTTCCCCATGTCTCAGGTGATCTACGCGATGGCAGAGGACGGGCTCCTTTTCCGGGGACTTGCCCAAGTCCGTGCCCACACAGGCACCCCCATCATGGCCATCATGTCTTCTGGAAACCTCGCAGGTGAATAAACAAAGCCCACCCCTTCCTTGATCGGCTTTTTTAACTTGGGTATTTCCAGCAGTTTCTTGCTGCCTCCTTCCATCTTGATTGTGCCCTCATTCTGGGAGTCATGGCTTTACTCTTTGAGCTCAGTGATCTTGTGGACTTCTTGTCAGTTGTGACCCTGCTTGCTTACACTCCTGTGGCATTTTCAGTCCTTGTCCTCAGGTAAGACTCCACTACACCTTGACCGGGGGCCTTGGACTCATGGAGATGAATAACCTTCTGTCTTCATGCTGCTTTCTAAATGTCCTTCTAGGTTTAAGATAGGAAAGTGGTGGCATAGGCTATCTAATGTTGGCTGAGTAGCGGCTGCTGTTAATATTACCTTGTTGCTGTTGTTCAATCACTAAGTCTTGACCAACTCTTTGCCACCCCATGGACTGCAGCATGCCAGGCTTCTCTGTCCTTCACTATCTCCTGGAGTTTGCTCAAATTCATGTCCATCGGGTCAGTGATGCCATCCAACCATCTCATCCTCTGTCACCCACTTCTCCTGCCCTCCATCTTTCCCAGCATCATGGTCTATTCCATTGAGTCAGCTCTTCACATCGGATGGCCAAAGTATTAGAGCTTCGGCTTCAGTATCAGTCCCTCCAATGAATATTCAGGGTTAATTTCCTTTAGGATGGACTGGTTGGACCTTCTTGCAGTCCAAGTGACTCTCAACAGTCTTCTCCAGCACCACAGTTCAAAAGCATCAGTTCTTCAGTGCTCAGCCTTCTTTATGGTCCACTTATCACATCCATATGCAACTACTGAAAAAACCATAGCTTTGACTATATGTACCTTTGTCAGCAAAATGATGTCTCTTTTTTAATATACTGTCTAGCTTTGTCATAGCTATTCTTCCAAGGAGCAAGTGTCTTTTCATTTCATGGCTGCAGTCACTGGCCACATTGATTTTGGAGCCCAAGAAAATGAAATCTGACACTGTTTCCACATTTTCCCCATCCATTTGCCATGAAATGATGGGAGCAGATGTCATGATCTTAGTTTTCTGAATGTTGAGCTTGAAGCCAACTTTTTTACTCTCCTCTTTCACTGTCATCAAGAGGCTCTTTATCTCCTCTTCACTTTCTGCCATTAAAGTAGTATTATCTGCATATCTGAGGTTGTTGACATTTATCTGGGCAATCTTGATTCCAGCTTGTGATTCATCAAGCCCATCATTTCTCATGACGTACTCTGCATATAAGTTAAATAAGCAGGGTGACAATACATAGCCTTGATGTACTCTTTTCCCAGTTTTCAACCAGTCCATTATTAACATTGCCTTAATATCTCATATTCAGGTACCAGCCGCACCTGAAGGAGAAAACGGAGGAGGAAATTGAGATGGAGCCTGAAGCTGAAGGAAATCCTTTGGACTCTGTACCTGAAGCAGGAACCTCAAACATCCTGAAGAGTCTGTGGTTCCCTACCAGCCCCACCCCCACACAGAAATCTGGCCAGATTGTCTGTAGATGTGCCTTCCTGCTCGGTAAGCAGTGGGGCTTCTCTTTGGTCATATTCTAATATTGACGGGATGGGTGGGAGTGTATATTTTGTCAGTTGAGGCATCTTGGAGATATGATGGCCCTTCCTGATGTGGGCAGCCTGGGGAGGGATGTGACCCAAGGTCCTGACATCTTTGTCTTCTGGGTCCAGCCTGTTCTCCTCCACCTTGACCCTTGCAGTTCTCCTGCTGACCATCCTGAGCCTGATCCTGGCCCAGTGGCCCAGCCAGGTGCTCTCTGGAGACCCCGTGCTCACAGCAGTGACTGTGCTGCTGCTGCTGCTCATCACTGGGGTCACGATCATCATCTGGATGCAGCCCCAGGACCCCTCCCCTCTTTATTTTAAAGTAGGTGATCTTGGGAGTTCCTTGGTGGTCCAGTGGTTAGGACTCTGCGTTTTCACTGCCCTGGGTGCAGGCTCAATCCCTGGTCAGGGAACTAAGATCCCCACAAGCCACATGACATGCCCCCCCCCCAAAAGTAGGTTATTATATGTCCCCAGACTGTCCACCTTGAGTGATGAAGTCTGCATGCTTTGAGGTCTGAACACTCTATGCTGGACCAGGGAAGGGGGAGGGCTCGCTAAAACAATGGACTCTTCCTGGTCCACACTCAGTGCTTTACAAACCCACTCTCAGTAGACAGTGAGCGCTCAGCCTGAGTAGGACTGTCTTCCTGCCCACTGGGGTCAGGTCTCCGTCTCAGACGTCTGGGCTGTGCTCAGGGATGAACTGACTCTGCCCACAGGTCCCTGCTCTGCCTGTCCTCCCACTGGTGAGCATCTTCGTGAACATTTACTCTATGATGAGGATGACCACTGGGACCTGGGCCCTATTTGGCATCTGGATGGTGATTGGTAAGTGATTTTCTGGGACAAAGAGGCTTCTTGAGGGACTGAACCCAGTCCTCTTCCTACTGCCTTTGCCCTGAACTGTCAGACACCAGAACAGGAGGCCTATTGGGCATTTTTAAGTGGGGTGAGCACTTTCTTTCCGTTCTCACCATCTCATTTCCCTACTAGGATTTGTCATATATTTTGGATATGGGATCCAACACAGCTTGAAGGAGAACAACGAGCTACAGCCACCAGCCTCCACCTCCCAGACTTGAGAAAAACATCCTTTGTGCTGAGTCATCTTAACCACAGGAAACAGATGCTGTTGGAATCCCTCTGTGCACGAGAGGGTCTGTAGGTTCAAGGGGCGCTGTGAGCCTCAATGGAGCATGAGGGTGAAATGCATTTAGAGCCATGTATTCATCGCCAGCAGACAAAATGACTTTTATGTTGTTTAAGTTTTAAGCAGACTTTTAGAACCATAACATAGACACAGAAAAGTGTGTGCTTCCTAAGTGCAGCAAGATGGATTTTCACAAAGTACAACAGTGTAACCAGCAACCAGAGGAAGAAATAAAATATTAACCTGACGCAGGAGAAACAACTCCTTGTACCCATTTCCAGCAAGAACACAGAAATGGGCACATGAGAAGGAACACAGGTAACTGTGTCTTGTGTCAAGAGTTGCCCTTTAAATATCAGGTCACCAATTAGTTGGAAAGGGCTGCTCTGGTGGCTCCGAAGGTACAGAATCTACCTGCGATGCCAGAGACCCAGCTTCGATCCCCAAATCAGGAAGATCCCCTGGAGAAGGGCATGGCAACCCACTCCAGTATTCTTGCCTGGAGAATCCCATGGACAGAGGAGCCTGGTGGGCTACAGTCCACGGGGTTGTAAAGAGTCGGACGTGACTGAGCTACTAATACTAATTAACTAATTAGTTGAAGGTAAAAGGAAAGGAACAGATACATTGTACAGAGTGACACAAGAAAGCTAGGGTAGCCATATTAATATCAAAGTAGATTTTGAGAAAAAGAATAATAAGAGATAAAGTGGAACATTTAATCAGGATAAAGCAAAATGATCATTTTGTCTTTTCCCCAGCTTTATTGAGATTTAGTGTAACATGGTTTAAATGATCATTTTTCTTTACTTTTCTGTCATCACAGACCCTTACAGTCACACAATAGAGTTGATGACAAAAAGTTCTTAATTGGGAAAAAAAAGAAAACTCCTGCATTGCCACAGGTGGGGGAAGGGAGTAGGAAGTAATGGTTTGTAGATAAATGGTTACAGTTGGGTAGAACTAAAAGATATAAAGGGACTTTATATATAGATATATAGGACTTCCCTGTGGCTCAGACGGTAAAGCATCTGCCTGCAACGCAGGAGACCCAGGTTCAATCCCTGGGTCGGGAAAATCCCCTGGAGAAGGAAATGGCAACCCACTCCAGGACTCTTGCCTGGAAAATCCCACGGACGGAGGAGTCTGGTAGGCTACGGTCCTTGGGGTCACAAAGAGTTGGACACGACTGAGCGACTTGGCAGCAACAGCAGCAGAGCAGCTTTACTTCGGGGCTTCCCTGGAGGTCCAGTGGTTAAGACTCTGTGCTTCCACTGCCGGGGCACAGGTTTGATCCCTGGTTGGGGAACTAAGACCCCACATGCTACACAATGTGGCCAAAATGAAATGAAGTTAAACTAGAAAGATAAAAAGTTGTTGCTGCAGAACAGCATGCGTGAAATCAACATTATAGACACTGAAGATGTTGGTAATAATGAAGTATGGCCTGTGAGAATGAACAGCAGGACTAGAGTGAAGGGGGTATGGCAGTCAGGAAACAATATAGCAAAACTATTAGATGAATTAAAAAGTAGATGAAGGAAGATTAACAGAATTAGTTGCAAGTTCTACTGAAATTACAAGGCTCAGTTCAGTTGCTCAGTCGTCTCCAACTCTTTGCAGCCCTATGGATGCCAGGCTTCCCTGTCCATCACCAACTCCTGGAGTTTACTCAAACTCATGTCCATTGAGTCAGTGATGCCATCCAACCATCTCCTTCTCTGTCATCCCCGTCTCCTCCTGCCCTCAATCTTTCCCAGCATCAGGGTCTTTTCAAATGAGTCAGCTCTTCGCATCAGGTGGCCAAAGGATTGGAGTTTCAGCTTCGGCATCCCCAGTGGCTCAGGCAGGAAAGAATCTGCCTGCAATGCAGCAGACCTGGAGTTGGGAAAATCCCCTAGAGGAGGAAATGGCAACCCACTCCAATATTCTTACCTGGAGAATTCCATGGACAGTCCAGAGGAGACTGGTGGGCTACATACAGTTCATGGACTTGCAAAGAGTTGGACAAAATTATAGGGTTAGGACATAATGAATGGAGACTGGAACTGTTAGGTGAAACTTAGGAGGAACAGGTTGACATCACCTGATTATCATTCCTCCTTCACTGATGTGGGAAAACCAGGTATCCTGGGCCATTAATACCCAATGTGCTGTGAAAGGCAATGCAGAACACTGCCCATGAAAGAGACATGCTAAAAGCTGAACCAGAATGTAATCAAGTTTCTAGATCAATGACAGCTCATGGCAGATGTGAGGGACAGATTCAGATTTCAACTGAGAACGCAGTCAGCCAAAACCAGAGTGTGGGGAAATGGTGCACTCTCTATAACAATTAAATAATATGACCCAAAGTGGGGATGGTGCATTCTTTATAACAATTAAATAATATGACCCAAAGTGGAGAGTTAATACAGGCATACCCTGGAGATATTGCTGGTTTGATTCCAGACCACCATGATAAGTAAAATATGGCAATAAAGGGAGCCACATATAAACTTTTTTGGTTTCACAGTGCACATAAAAGTACAAAGTACATAAAAGTACACTGCAGTCTATTCAGTGTACTATGACATTTTGTTTTAAAATGTTTAAAACATTCTGTTTTAAAAAACAATATACATCCCTTCATTTACAAATACTTTGTTGCTAGAAATTCCATGGCAGTCCACTGGTCAGGACTGTCGCAGCCAGGGCCAGGTTCAACCCCTGGTCAGGGAACCAAGATCCCACAACCTGAACAGCCAAAAATATACATTATTGCTAAAAATGTTAACCATCATCTGACAACCCAGTGTTGCCGCAAAACTTCAATTTGCAAAAAATGCAGCATCTGTAAAGCAGAAATAAATGACATATGCCTGTAACGGTGTATTGTGTATACATATTAAAATATATGTGTAATAAATACACATAAAATCTGTACACCTATAAAATATTATGTATAAAATATATATTTTAAAGTTCATCATTTATCTGAAATTTGCTATATGTAGGTGTCTTTTTTTTTTTTCTTGGACAACGGCTTGAATTTTATTCTTGTCCCAATTTCAGCTCCAGCCAGCCAGATAGCATTCCTGAAAACAACAGAAATTTCAGGGACTTCCCTGGTGGTCCAGTGGTTAAAACTCCACACTCCCAGTGCAGGGGGCCCAGGTTTGAGCCCCGTCAGAGAATCAGATCCCATCTGTGGCAACAAAGATTGCATGCTGAAACTAAAGAGCCCGTGTGCTACAAGTAAGGCCCAGTGCAACCTATTAAGTTTAAAAATTAAAATTAAAAAAAAAAAACCACGTAAATTTAAGTTTTATATATAGACTGGATAAACAACAATGTCCTATTCTATAGCGCAGAGGACTATATTCAATATCCTATGACAGGACTTCCCTGGTGGCGCAGTGGTAAAGAACCTGCTTGCAATGCAGGAGACGTGAGTTCGATCTCTGGTGCAGGAAGATCCCACATGCTGCGGGGCAACTAAGCCCCTGGGCCGCAACTACTGAGCCTGCGCACTAGAGCCCGGGAGCCGACTGCTGAGTCCACGCGCCGCAACGACTGAAGCCACGTGCCCGAGAGCAGGAGCTCCGCAACAAGATAAGCCCATGCGCCACAACGAAGAGGAGCCCCACTCACTGCAACTAGAGAAAGCTTGTGCGGCAGCAAAGACTCAGTGCTGTCAAAAATAAATACCTATGGTTTTTTTTTTTTTTTTTTTAGGTTCTCTTATTCTTTCTTTTTTTTTTTTTTTTTTAAATTTATTTATTTATTTTTTATCACAACCATAGTGTATCTTTTTTTTTTTTTTTTTTACATGTATTCCCCATCCCGGTCCCCCCTCCCACCTCCCTCTCCACCCAATCCCTCTGGGTCTTCCCAGTGCACCAGGCCCGAGCACTTGTCAATATATATCCTATGACAAACCGTAGTGGGAAAGAACATTTTTAGGAGACTATTTTGCTATAGCAGAAATTAACACATTGTAAATCAATTATGCTTTCATAAAAAGAAAAAAAAAAAGAAAAGAAATTTCAAAATATAATAAAGTTATTCTTTCATGGTTCTGGAGGCCAGAAGTCCAAAACCAGTGTCACCGGGCTGAAACCAAGGTGTTGGCGGGACCACACACACCCCCTCCCCCACCGGAAATTCTAGGAGAAAAAACGGGTCCTTGCCTTTTCCAGCTGCTGGGAGCTCCTGGCTAGTGGCCGCTTCCTCCTTCCTCACGGCCAGCAGCGTAGCACCTTCCAGTCTGTCTCGGTCCCGTTTTCTCAGGTGCCTGGTATTTTCATTTGCTGACTCTCGAACCCCTTGGTGTCTGTACGTTCTCTCCGCTTTCCAACCTCCTCTTCTTATGAGGACCTATTCATCGTGGGTTAGTACCACCGTCAAAATCACGAAATGTTGTAGGTGGGTGTCTCAAGGTAAGTTACGAAGGATATTTCAAAATGATTATTATTGGTCTGGATTGATTATGGGGATAAAAGAGTTGCAAAAGCAGGAGACGGAGCAAATCGTGAACCTGTTATTCCCCCGGAATTCCTAAAATGGGTGGTTGCCACAGGTAGCCGGGGGTCAGTGAATGGTTGTGATTGGGGAGGCAAGGTGAGAAGGCGTCTCCGGAGGTGGTTAAGCGTCTGCTGTCTTCCCAGGGACAGTGATGCAAATGGAAAGGCAGTGATTTCTTACCTCTGTTTCTTCCCCAGTACCTCCAGGGGGTTCCGTGGGTCACGCCTCAGGGACCAGAAAACCGTGAAAACCTCTAATTGTCCCCAAGGGACTGATTAACTCAGTTTCCTGCAAACTCGACTCAAGGGAACGCGTGTAGGGGCCAAAGCTACGGGGAGAGTTGCCTTTTTCCCACGCTTGTCTGTTTTCTCCTCAAGAATGGAATATGGGGACTTCCCTGGTGGTCCAGAGGCTAAGACTCTGTGC